ATTAAAGAAATTACATTAAAAAAGAATTTTTAAATAGTTAATTTCATATATATTTTTTTTCCAAATTTTGTAATATTTCTAAATTTATATTTTATTTAAAAATAAAAACATTATTACTTTCTCAAAATCACATGAAGGCGTATTATATCAACATAAACAAATGATAAAACCAAACATTAAAATCACGATATATTTTATTACATTGTACAAATACACTTTTAATAATATATAATTATCCCACATTAAACATACTTGATATTTAATAAAGAAATTATATAACGAAAATATATATAAGGAAATCGTGGGTAAACTTGTTCGGCCGAATAATCCGATACGCTAACTAAAATGAAGGGACTAATTTGTAATTTACTCCCATAGAATAGTTATCCGTCACAAGGTGGGCTTCCCAACGTCCCACCAATTCTTCTCATCAAAGTCGTCATCGTCGTCTACACCACAGTTCCTTACGCCGTTTGATCTCCGGCGACGGTTACAATTTCCGATCTTCTGTTAATTTAATATATATTGACCTCTATCTTTTGCTTGTACGAGACATCCGGTTGTCAATTCTCTTTGGAAATTAAGGTTAGTAATTCTGATTTTCTATTCATAAGTTGCAAATTGGACATAGATTTGTGTATATAGCTTATGAATTAGGAACGAATTTTCTCCAGTTAACTATGTTCTAAACTTAAAGAGTTATGTGGATGGACTTAATAATGAACGCTTAGATGTATGAACCAGGTAGTATATATAGCTTCCTATTGAACTAATTTAATCATCGGTGATTGTGGTAATTAATCTATGTTAAAAACTCAGATTCTTACTTGCTTGTTTAGCAATATCTTAGAAGTCATGCATGAAATCATTAACCGTGTTATTATTTAAACAATTATCAAGTAAGTAACTAATATTGGCACATATGACTTGAAAATTTTAGAACTCTACTGAATCTGAATTTGTATTTGTCATCTAATGCTGTTTTAATGAATATCCACAGTTAAAGTGCAATAAGAAATACACTAATCGACAAGATGATTTTACTTGAGACAGTTAAATTGCAAGAATTATTTGATCAGGGACTTCATTTAACAAATTTTAGCTGTAGGATTATAGTTGATTAACACATAAAATTGGGTGAAACATGCCATAATCCCTGTTTTGTTGCATCAGAGCAGTTTGGTCTTTTGTTCCTGACTTTACATATAAATTGGACTACCACTAGTCTTACATTTGTGCTGTTGCTTTGATCTTGATAATTTACCCAATATCTTATGTTTCCTATGTGAAATAGGCATCCACTATTTTATTTCAAGGAAGTGTTTCTTGCATAACTGCAATCATGATTGTTATTATGTTCTATTGTTTATCTATCTATCTATTACTGGTATTTTCATGATGCATGTCTCAGCCAATGATGTAAATGGTATCTTAGCCAGAGGTGTTGTCAACTGCAGAATTATCTATGGACTTCTTCAGGACATTCCTGAACAGTCCTGTTGGACCCAAGACTACTCATTTCTGGGGTCCTATAGCCAACTGGGGATTCGTTGCCGCTGTATGCTTTTCCTTTATCTTTTCAGTACTTCTATTACAGATTCCATGAAACCGAATGTCATTTTTATATTAAGAGGTTATTGTTGCTGAAATGTGGCAGGCTCTAGCCGACATCCATAAACCTCCAGAGATGTTATCCGGCAACATGACAGCAGGTTGGTAGTCGCATATTTAAATATAGGTAGACATAGTAAGTGTGAGGTTATTATTGTGTAAACCCATAAGTTTTGGATGCAGTGATGTGTGTATATTCGGCCTTATGCATGAGATTTGCGTGGATGGTGCGGCCTCGGAACCATCTACTTCTTGTATGCCATGCTTCAAATGAAACAGTGCAGCTCTTTCAACTTTCGCGTTGGGCAAAAGGTCAAGGGTAAGCTACATTAGATGTGAGATACTGATGGCATACCATCACATTTCCCTAGCGATTTAATCTCTAGCCTTCTAACTCAACTAAATTCCACTTGGAGGTTGGGTCTGGGTTAGAATGTACGTAAACCTTGTTTCTACCCCAAAGAGTATCAAAGAGACTGTTTTCGTGAGGATCTTAGACAATACAACAAAAATTAAAAGTAACAAGAAAGCAGGCTTAGGGTTCGAACTTGAAAGCTTCTCAACGGAAATAAACCGTCTTAATTCTCACATTTCTTCTGCATACCACCTTGATATGCACAAAATGCTTACCTTTGTTTCCTTGTGAAAGGTACTTGCAGCAGAAGGAAGATAACACACCCTCAACTTGACTTCAGACTGGATCTTTTATTCGGGTAGTTGTTTCAGTTTTACCGTAAATCTAAAGCTTAATTAATTCAGTTCCCGATTTTTCAAGATATATATGTCGGCATGGAGGTTCACTTGCGATGACTCCAGGTCATTTATGGTCGCTTTGGAGATTAGTCGGTGCTCGTAAGCTAGCCCGAAACCCAAGGTTACAAAACAATAACTGTAGGCTATATATGTATCTTGATTTGCTTTGAATGTGATTTTTCATTTGATCATTTATAGTAATGCTTTTATCTTCGTTTCTTTGTTGTATAGTTTAGCTAACATATCAAATTGCTGTTTCCCATGGGGTAAATGTTTTTTTTTTTTGATTAACCTAAATATTCAACCCGCTATGCGAACCGACTAATCCCAGGGCAACCACCTGCTTTGCAGATAGCCCGAAGTCATCGCATTTGAACCTTCGTGGCCACAAGGGGATTTTTATCCCTCCTTGGATTTGAACCTGTGACCTCCTGATACTTTTGACATTTGGAGCCAAGCTCAAACCAATCAGGCACCACCCTTGTGGTTGGGTAAATGTTTTCTATACATTCGTAGACATGGATCATCAATTGTGCATAGGTCTATAAGGGCCCTAAAAAGATTCAAAGGGGTTCCACATACTCTCACCCAACCCTCTCTATAGGCTCCCCGCCTTAACGGGATCGGCTCTATTTTGCAATGAGATTCATAAAAGCCCGTTGCAACTATCTTTCGAGGAAAGGCAAGGCACACATCGATCTCTCATCAGGATTGAAGCCTATTTCTCTCCATAAGCCAACTATGAGCATGCATTTGGTACAGCATGAACTATGAAACCCGAGCTGGTCTTGTGCACTCACTCAACTTATTTTTGCAAGTAGAATTTTTTTTTGGTATGAAAGATCCACCCTCTAAAATTTGAGGGGTGCTCCGTGATATCAGAAAATGAAAGGAGCATCAATCAATTTGAAAAAATTTCTTCAAAATCAACCAAAAAACTGAAAAATTCCTCGAAATCAACCAAAAAAGTAGAAAAAGTCTCTTGAGATCAACAAAAATAATTAAAAGTCCCCTAAAATCAACAAAAATACTTGATTATTGCTAGAAATCAATCGAGAAACTTAAAAAAATTCTCGAAATTGAGGAATCGAGCTAGAAACACATCGTATAATTTTGTGTTCTTTTGATCCACTTTAAAGGTGCACTTACTTGCAAAATTTTTGAGTCCATCATCGGATTGAGGCATCTTGATTAGGGCTGCATATGAGTTGGATTGGCCGGGTTGAAAGCATTTGAATGACCAAACCCAAATTTACAGTTTGTTGTGAAGGTTTAGCTTCTTTTTACCTTCACAACAGTTTACTGTGAAGTTTCAAGTGTAAAAAAGTTGTCTTACGTGTATCACGAAAACAACTTTGTTTCACGTGAACGCAACCCTATATATATATATATAGGTTCAAACGAGAACCCTTGTGATTTACAAGAACACAAGAACAATCTAATAACCTCAAACTTTTTTAATTAATAAATTAATTTATATTAAATATAAATAAATTAATAAGAGCAGTAATGTAATTAAGTAATTTTTATAATTTTTATTTTATTTTAATTAGTCATAATGATCCATTTTTATCTTGCACGTTCGTTTCCACTCTCTTCTCTCCCCTTGTGATAATTGTGTGATTGTGTAACCATAACATATCGAAATCATGATCAATCAAGTGTAACCATAACCTATCGAAACTATGAGTAATCGTTGTGATAAATGTGTGATTGTCTAACCCTAACCGATCGAAACCATGATCAAATTGAGTGTGCAAGTGATGTTATAATAGTGATATCACATGATTATCACACCAAATTGGTAGTCGATTTTCTAAGTTAACCTTAGTCGAGCGGAATCGTTGTGATAATTGTGTGATAATCACATGATTATCACACTCATATCACACCCAAATCACACCAAATCGTGTTGATATAAGCGATAATGTGATAATTATGTAATCACATTATTATCACACCCAAATCACACCAAATCGTGTTGATATAAGCGATAATGTGATAATCACATGATTATCACATGATTAACCGTTTATTAGATAATGATAATCATGATCGTGTAATCATGTTAAAAGATTTTATGATATCATTTCCATTATTGCCCTTTTAATTTTAATATTTTTTTAATCTTTTTAAATTTCAATTTTGATTTTAAAAATATTTTATTTTTATTTTTTTATCACAATATGAGGTTATTGGGTTGTTCTTGCATTCTCGTAAATTACAGGGGTTCTCGTTTCCCTATATATATATATATATAAATTGTGTACCCGTGCAATGCAGCGAGATGTGAAATTTTGAAAAGATGTAAGCATGTATTGATAAATATTTGTATTTGAAATTGCCAGACCCTACACTATTGATTGTTTCATATTCAATTGGCAACTTTCATCCTCATAACCATGAAATCTTCAACCAAGGACATCCTTGCAAATATAGTGGTTAAGATGAGTTCGAGGAGTAAAACCATCTTGCGAATATCAGTAGAATGTAGCAGAGCTGTAGGTCTCAATTCTGATAGCAGTTTAAAAAATATGATGATCATGATCATACAGATGATAAAAGGCACTGAAATAATCAGAAAGTTGTTTAAACTAGTCAAGTTAATTTTGCATGTCTAAAGAGAAGAAATTCTTTTGGTGATATCTTTTATTGCCATAGTCAAACTCATTATTTGGGTATATAGTTTGCTGCATTCGCTTGTCCACGTAAAAGAAAGAAATAAAATGTTATTGTGATGCAACACCCAACATAAAATGGAGATAACTTAGAAGCCTACGTTAAAGATAGTCCATGTGTGGAGGTTCCAGGTTCAAATCCAAGGAGGGATACAAATCTCCTTGTGGCCATGGAGGTTCAAATGCGGTGACTCCGGTCTATCTGCAAAACAGGTACTAGTCGGCTCGCATAGCGGGTTGGATATCCAGGTTAATCAAGAAAAAAAGATAGTCCATGTGCGTTCATATGGCATTAATAACCCCCTCAATCTCATTCCTTTTTTTCCTTAATACCATAGTTGCACAAAGAACAAATAAATGACATGATTAAGAGGAACGGGACTATAACCATAACCATCAACTCAAGAAATGAATGTATTCTACATAATATCACGAATACACACATTTAATGGCACGAGAGCGAGGCTAGTCAATCTCACTCAACTTCTTGCATCGAGTCTATTTTGCTGCTACTCGATGCCAATAACTATCACCTCTTTGCAGCAAGCCCAGGACATTAACACACATGCTTAGAGAATAAATATACAAAGATCAAAAAATCTAAAGCATAAGTGGTGCACTACAGTGGATTGTGTCAATCTCTCAAAATCGGTATAAATGGGACTTTTTCCACAATATGAATCATAAGTCACCAAGAAATAAGGATTTCCCCAAAATTTCACACGTGAGTCAAAAGCCACAGATAACAAAAGACGTGAACTCCAAAAATGAGACAGAATATTTGAGAACAGAAAACAAAGATATTTGAATTTTGACTTAGTGATAAGGCTAAGAGATTTTTATCAGGTTACTGAAATATCTGGTTGTACTCTTGTAAAAGGAAAACTCTGAGAGAAATGAACTTGATTTGGGACCATAAAAATAAACATGATATAGAGTATGCATTAGTAACTTGATATGACAGACGTTAAAAGTCTCTGAGAAGCCATGAAAGCTGAAAATAGCAGGGAGATTTTTTTTTCTTACAAAAGGGACACTGAACTATCGTTGTTAGTGGTGAGATGTTCTTCAATGCATCAATAATTTGCACGTCATGCTTAATTACTTGTAATTGGTAGATTTTTGAAATTTATGCATCAATGGATTCGATTAACTTGTAATTGTATGTGTATATATATACATATATATGTGTGTGTGTGTGTGTGTTTGTACGCATGCACATATAAACGCACATAACATATATTTTTTCGAAAAAAATATATTTTATATTAAAATAAAACTTAAGGATTAATACATATTAAAGTATAATAATTAATTAATTTAATAAACTCAAAGTATAAAAAATTATTTTTTATTCTTTACTTTTTAGATTTAATTACGGATTTGGTCCATGTGGTTTGTAAGGTTTTTACGAAATTGGTCTATCGAGTAAAGATAAAAATGGAAAAGGGGGAAAATACCCATAAGGTCAACGGAGGAACTGGATGGCCGTTAGAGGGAGGGACCAATTCGTTACAAAAGGACATACGACGAGCTCTAATCCGTAATAAATGAAGTTCAAGATCATTTCCATAAAAACCACCAAACCATGGGGACCAAATCTATAATTTACTCTTTAATTTGCAAACACATCATTAATACAAAATTTGTAAACTTATCTCAACCCTTGATTTCATTGGTTAATGGTTGAAAATGAATATGAATTATTATTAAAAGAGTACTCGCGCAATGCAGCGAGACACATCTTGATTTTAATGTTCTATTTTATTATTTATCTCTGTCGATGTTATAATACAATTTTATGTGTTTTTAAAAAAGCATTAATGATTTTATTTTTGAATAAAATATAAATTTGAAGATATCATAAAAATTTGAAGAAAAATATATCAATGTTAATATCAAATCAACTATTTAAAAGTTTTTATTTTTATGTAATTTCTTTAATTTTTTATTATAATTTAATTTAAGTTTAATAATGAAATAATTTTTTTTGGTATAATAATATAATATTTTATAAAGATAATAATTAAGTAATCTGTTAGAACTCAATGATTATCTTAATTATATTTTAGATTTTTTATATTTTAAATAATATGTTTATCTTATATTTGATTATGTTTATCTGCAGTTAGTTACACGAATTCAGATATGGAGCTTTAATAACTTGTACTTACGCACAATCTACTTGTAATCTTTAGTCTTAAGTAACATGCATTAATAAACAGTACTTTACGCATAAAAAATGATTTTTAAGAGTTTTTATCAAATGCTTTATAATATAGTATAAATTATTATTTTTTTATTAACCTGAATATGAATTATTTATGTTTAGAAAAAGAAAACAATCATTACACCCTATCTAAATTAGAGTTGAAAAGGGTAAAATAGTCAAAAGATATTTTTAAATATTTTTTTTTGGTTTAATTTTTTATTTTCCGTAATAATTAATTAATGGTACGCGGTATTTCAGTAACAATTTAGATGTTTGTTTTTATTAATATTCTTTTCAGATTTTTTCCCTGTTTTCATGTTCGTTTTTGTGTTTCATTTTTTTCCCGATTTCATGTTTTCGAAAAACTCATTACTTCATTGTTCATAGTTTCATGGTTTCATGAATGAAAAAAAAACTCATAATTTATGGTTTCATGAATGAAAAAAATTCATAATTTCATGGTTTATGATTTTATAACTTCAATGAAAAACCCTCATGCTTTCATGGATAAAAAAACATGTCATTGACAAACAAACCAAACAGTTTTTTTAACGTGAAAAAAGACAATATGCCAAACCAAATTTCATCCAATGAGAATTTATTATTTTTAATTAAGTGATCCTTATCGATTTGCGTTGTCAATTAAAATAATAATAATAATAAACAATAAATAAAACAAAAATTAATGCTAATCCCAAACTATTAGGTAATTGTAATATACCATATTTATCCGTGGATTAGGTGAATGACGAATTACTCCTTATATTTAAAAAAAATCCAAAATATAAAGAATTTTGTGATTGGCCAAATTCAGTGTGCAAATATGAGTGGTTTGCATTTGATTAATGTCTTATATGTAGACTAAGGATCATGTGATACTAGATTGTTTTCATAACACTCGTAGAACCATTTTTTTACATTTGAAATTTTACAGTAAAACATTATGACTACAATATTTTGGCTGTGTGAATATAATTTTTTACCTTCACAAAGCTTTTAATTGTAAAGTTTATAAGTGTAAAAAATATGGTCCCACTACTCAAGTTGATGTCTTATGAAATCAACCTTTTATATATATATATATATATATATATATATATATATATATATATATATATATATATATATAGACACGTTCAAATGAAAACC